TAATAAATTTTAAAAAACATGTCAATTTTGAATTCAATATATTGAAGGAAACATATTAAATTTGAAAATATAAGGAACCAAATTAATGACACATTAATAACTTTCTATAACTAAAAGTAATATAGTTAATTAAGAAAATAAAAAATAACCACAAAATAACAAGTGAAAACTAATTTCTATGAATTAACCATAAAATTACATATATCAAAATACATGTAAATATGACATTGAACAAAAAAATTATTTATTAATATGGATATAATAACCAATATAATATTATAACTCATAATTTACAAAAGCAATGCATCAAAATAAAATAAAAAAAAAACACATAAATTTATGCATACAACCAAAACTTTTAATGTTTTGAGTGGTTATACATGTTAAAAATGTACTTAAGTTTTGGTATATTTATATAGAATTAAAAAAAAATGATTTTTTTACTATTAAGGATAAAACTAATATGAAATTAGGTATGTACATGAGCCGAGCTACTAGCAAGCTACCCGAGATCGGATCGTTGGAAGCTCAAAACAAGTCGAGCCTTAATGAGCCCGAGTCTGAGCTCGAGCCTAGAATAAAGTTCATTTAACAAACAAGTTTGGTCTCGAGCCTACACTTACGGGCTCGTTTAAGCTCACAAGCTTTTGTGTAATATACTTTTATTTTGTTATATTATTATTTATTATTTATATATTAATAAAATATTAAAAAATAACAAGTCGGTCCCAATCTTAAAGGATTTTTTACAAACGAGCCTTAGTGAGCCTTAACGATCCGATCTCGAGCTTCATATATGTTTCATGAGCTCGAGCCTCTAGACTCTTAACTAGGGACGGATCTTAATAAGGGCAAGGATGGTTGTGCCCCCCCCCCCCCCCTAATTATTTTTTAATAACTAGTCTTTTAATTTTAAAAATTTAAATATTAGACCTAAAACTAAAAAATTTGACTGTGGCCCTCTTATTATCAACTTTTTATTCATATTTTATTTTCGACACCCAACTCAAATGTTCAAGCTCCGGAACTCCTCTTGGCAAGCTCGAGTTAACTTTAAATGAGTCTATCCAGCTTGTTTACATCCCTATATGAAACTTGAATAGCATTCGATAAAAATACAAATAATTAAACCAAATAGTCGATTTTTAAAGAAAATAGACTTTCATAATATTAAATTATTAAAAACTTAATGAAGTAAACATCTTAATCAAAAGTCTAGATAACATACGATAAAACAATTTTAAAAATTATATCGACCCTACATTAATGTTATCCACAAATCACACAAGTATGTATGCATATTTTCGAAACAAGTGTTAAACGTGAAGGAGTATGCGGCTTAAACTTTTTCTTCTATAAGAGCACGACACGTGGCACACTGACTGTACTTTCTTCCTCTGTTTGGCTTATATATCATCCATCTTCCTTCTCCCCCAATTCAAATCATCATAAACCCTCAATTTCCGTTATCCAAAACTTTCTCTATCTTCCATATTTTATCCACTACGATAAATACTTTCGAAAACAACATGGAAATGTCGTTGATCGGAGCTTCTCCGGTCAAATTTTCTCAATTAGGCAATAATAACAACAATAACAGCATTCCGATGATCATTTGTTCATCTTCTACCAAGTCGCGGATTGGTTTTTGTCAAATAACTAAATGCCCTAATGTGTCTCTTAGGGTTGCAACTCGATCTATTTCTATTTCTCATTCTCAACATGCAGCATCCGACGAGGCTTCCGATGATAACGCCATATCCAAAGCTGTAAGTTCTTAATATTTAATTGTTTTTAGATTAGTTTTGCTTGATCGGGGAATGTTATTACCTTTTACTTTGGTATCTCAATTAGGTATTTCGAAATGAAATCGTTCTAGTTCTTGCTTCACTCAGTTAATCAAAACTTATAATTAGATTTGTTCTGTGAGCCATTTTTGATCCATGAATACTTGTTGAATAAGCAGAAAGATAGCGTGAAGTTATACGTTGGATTACCGATGAATTCAGTTTCCGATTGCCACTCAATAAACCATTCAAGAGCAATATCAGCAGGACTTAGGGCTTTAAAGTTATTAGGAGTGGAAGGTGTAGAGCTCCCGATTTGGTGGGGAGTTGCAGAGAAAGAAGCAATGGGAAAATACCAATGGTCGGGCTACCTTACTCTTGTAGACATGATTCAAAAAGCGGGTCTTAAGCTTCATGTTACCCTCTGCTTCCATGGCTGCAAACACGAAAACATCCGCCTCCCTAAATGGGTTTCTGAAATTGGGGAATCTGAACCAGATATCTTCTTTGCTGATCGCTCAGGGAAGCGTTATAAAGACTGTTTGTCTTTTGGTGTTGACGATCTTCCTGTTTTTCATGGCAAAACCGCCATGAATGTCTATCAAGGATTCGTGGAGAGCTTCAAGACGTCCTTCTCTTCATTCATGGGCTCCACAATCACAGTAAGTAGTTAAACAAGCTCCTTTTTCTTAACCTCAACGTCAAAATTGATGAATGAGTATCTTCTTTCTGTCAATGTCATTGTTACTGATCGATGAATTTTTACAGGGCATAACAATCGGTATGGGCCCAGATGGTGAGCTTCGATACCCATCTCATCAAGATCAAAACAAGAATAAAATCAGTTTAGGAGCAGGGGAATTTCAATGTTACGATCAAAACATGATGAACAATCTCAAGAAACATTCCGAAAATCATGGAAACCCTAATTGGGGACTATCAGGTCCACACGACGCCCCAAGTTACAACCAACACCCAATTATCAACACCTTCTTCAAAGAAGAAGGATCATGGGAGACTCCATACGGGGATTTCTTTCTTTCATGGTATTCAACCCAACTTGTATCTCACGCTGACAAGATCCTATCAATGGCTGCCTCATCTTTTAGCGACACTCCAGTCATACTGTCGGGAAAGCTTCCTCTTATCCACTCATGGTACAGAACCCGGTCCCATCCAGCTGAGGTGGCAGCAGGGTTTTGTAACACCGTGAACAGATATGAAGAAATAATAAAAGTATTTCATAAAAACTCGTGTAGAATGATATTGCCAGGAATGGATCTTTTGGATGAACAACAGCCAAATGAGTTGTGTTCGAGTCCTGAGATGCTTCTTGAAGAGATAAGAGATGGTTGCAGAAGGAATGGAGTTGAGGTTTGTGGTCAGAATTTGGAGATTGCAGGAAGCAGTCAGAGTTTTGAACAGATTAGGAAGAATTTGGTGGGTGGGAATGGAATTGAGGTGTTTGTTTACCAGAGAATGGGGGCTCAGTTCTTTTCACCTGAAAACTTTCCTTTGTTTTCAGCATTTGTTAGGAGGATTAAGGAATTGGAATTGGATTCCGATGATTTGGGTGGAAATGGGAGAGACAGTGTTGTATTTGTACCTGGTAAGAACCGAAAGATGCAAGCTGCATAGAGTTGTGATGATTTTAGATGTGTTTCTGGAAAGTGTATAGAATTAGTTATCTTTGAAAAGTTGTACAAATCATGCAATCATTAGTTAGTATTCTTGTCTACATGTCACGTATTTGACTTTTCAAACTCACTCTTGCACGCTTATTATACATTGTTTTCTGGAAGTGATACAATTTGTGAAAAGAAATTAAGTATGAAAGAGTTATAATCTCTCACCCCCATTTAGAGTTGAAAGGAAATGTCAATAATAAAAATTGAAATAATTCTTAAATTTATGATTATAATTAATCTATTTCATTTGTTTCAATAAATATAAGTATTGTATTTTGGTCTTTCAAAAAAAAAATTAAAAAGAACGGATTTGGACTCCTAATGATCTAGAATTTCCTCCTAAAACCCAACGTCTTACTTTTAACCTAATACTGATGATCTAGAATTTCGTATTACAATCAAACATCTTACTTACTTTTAACCTAACACTACGAATACTAGAAAAAAACAGCACCTTTCCACTCACAAGTAGTAGGTAATCGACGTTAACTGAGCAAAAGAAGACTTGGTTGATAAGTAATACATGAAAGTACAATTAGGCATAACAAATGTCGTTCATTCAAGAGAACTAACGAATAAAACTCACCAAATACATTTATAGGGGTTAACTTTCTCCCTATAAATAGGTGTGTTGGTAAGGATTGTAATCATCAAGAAGGTGTTGTGTTCCGTTAATTTTATTTTGACACTAGAGTGGTGTAAGGGTGACAAGAAGAAAAAGAAACTCATGAAGACTATCAATAGTGTCTAGTCAAATTATGTGTCATATAACGATAATTGTCCTGTTGTAAAACTCTCGAAGAATCTTCTCTGTATATAAATAAGGGTGTAGCCAATTGTAAATAGATCAGAGTTGTTTTGTGTAAGACTTCATGAGGCTTCATTGAGCACCAACAAGGCCAGTCATGCCATGCCCCACGACCTGTGAAAAAGGCCACCCCCAACATGTTGCCTTGATTTCTCGAACAACCTGGAAACTAGCCCGGTTACCTTAATTTCTCCAACACGTTGCTCGGATATCTCGAACGACGACCTGAAAATTAGCATCGTTGAGAGAGAGAGAGAGAGAGAGAGAGAGAAAGAGCTTTTGACCTAATATTTAGAAAATGTCATTTCAATTCATCATAACATTCCCCCCGGCTTTAGGTCGACACGGAGTTTCCAACTAGAACCGCTTGACATATTGGACCCCACTAACAAGAAAGATACGTATAACCAATGCTTTAAAAATCATTTTTTTAATTGAACCGGTTTTATAACCGGTTTCCAGCTCAACCGATTTGACCACCGATTGAACCAAGAATTTTCCTACATCTGGCAGTGGTAGTGTGGTACACGTTGGCTTTCGATTTGTGACTATGTACACTCTGAAAATGTTCAATATTGTTTGAAAATGAGTTGTTTTTTAACGGACCAAATAAAATCCAACTATACAAGTTCAATAAATCATTTAAAACAGTTTTTTGCCGGTGTGATACAACCACTTCACCCAAGATTTTAAAGAAACCGTTCGGTCCGATCCAATCTAGAAATTGACAAAATCGATTATGATTGCACCGTTCTCATTTCCGGTTTCTTGTCCAGTTCGGTCAGCTAGTTCAAAGTTCAAACCCATTTTTAAAACATTGTGTACTGTTGCACACAGACACACGTACACACAGACAAACAAAGAAACAAACAAGAGAAACCTATTACGTTTCTACAAAATACTCTTTTTAAAGTTTCTAATTAGATCTCTTAAGTTTTCTTCATGTGCAATCTAGTCCTTACACTTTCAGACTTCACAACGTCAGTTCCTAATGTCCTATCTATAAAGCTAACTTAACAAACCAACCTAAAATTTTAACTTAACAAATAGTTTTAAACGACTAAAAAAAATCTCCCAAATACTTTTACACCTACTTTAAAAAAATCAGAATGTTACAACATTTCACAATCATACCAAGGTGATGCTGACATGTGCACACCCATATTATAAGAACTGCTAATGCAATAAAAATCAATAATACTCTAACAAACCCGTTGAACATTAAAAACATGAGAACCTTATAAGCCTCCACTAGAAAAATAGGTCGAACATTATCCTCGAAATGAATAGATTGCAAATTAATATATAGTCGAATAATCAAGTATTGTTCAATAGTAATGTATTTATTTCAAATTCACTAACCTATAAAACTCCTTCACCAAAAGAACAAAAAAACCAAGAACATTTACAGTACCCAAAATACCCTTCTCACCATATCCCATAAAACAAAAATTAAAAAATAAAAATAAAAAACAAGAAACGAAAAGGAAATAAACAAAATAGCTTTACCTCTTCATTCTAAATGTAAAAGGGTTTCCCGGCAAGTCAAGTCTTAGTTTTAGTTATTATTCTTTGATGAAGAATCATTTAGATTTTGATTTTGATTATGATTATGTTTCTTTCTTCTTGTACCAGTGCCAGTACGACCTCCTGTGGGTCCCGCTTCAGCCAATGGTCCAGACCACGTCTGAATTGGCGGTTTTCCATATGAAAAATTTGAACTGAATGGGACATCGGGCGGGTCAAAACTTGGATCCATATGATGTGAGGAACCCAATGGATATCCGAGGGTCCCGTCTTGATGAGGTGGCGGAAATTTTTCACTTTTGCTCTTCGCATTTGCATGTGTGATCAGTCGGCGTCTCTGCAAAAATATAATATAATAAATAAATAAAATCAAAAGTTGGATTTCGATCGGAAAATCAAAGTTCATTAGCAATCAATCTTGTACTTTTACTTTATTATTTCTTATGTATGAATTATACTTTGGAAAATCCACAAGTAAGTTGAGTGGATTTTACAAAGAAAAATGTTGTAATACAACAAATGAAAATTAATATTGTTTAATATTTTAATATAAAAAATTAATCTAAAAAAGGAAGCTTATCTGGCATACATCAATGTTTACTTGGAGCTCAGCATTGGCTTCTGGAGCAGCCATAGCCCTTGCAGGTCTTTCACGTGTACGACTCTTCTTCCCTCCATCCGCATTTGTTTTTCCAACAGCTCTCAATCTACAAATAAACTCACATTTAAGTTAATAAATAAAGAATAACAACACATACTTTCATTTCATATATGTGTTTATGATAGCATACTACTTTCATTTCATCTAATTACAGCATTGTACTTTTAAAAAAATCTACCCAACTATAGCAACGTCATTTTCTTTCCCAAATGAGAAAAATAATAGATAGTACAGTGATATGGTTGGGTATGCTTTTCAAAATAAATAATTTTTAAATTCGTAATGGAAAAGCATACTGACCTTCTAGCTTCTTCATCACGTAATTTGGCATCCATCTCCTTGCTAGGTGGATATTTTGGAAGGCTTGAAGGATCACAGGCATACGGTTTTGTTGTAAAAAACTGCAAAACAACAATATACTGTAAGAAAATAATATCGGTAGCAAAATGTAGTTACGTTGCCATTAGTAGTAAAAAGAAAACACAACATTGCTATTATGGGTAAAAACATTAGAATTAAAAAATGATGAAAACCTCTTGTTTCCCCTTAATGGGTTGGCTTTTCAAAATTTTCATTTTAAAATTTTTTTAAATATTTTAATAATTCATAAGGATAAAACTGATAGATATAAATATCTTAATTGTTGTCAAACAGTTTCAAATATTTTTACAGATAAATTATACTAAATAGAAAGGAGAAAAAAAATGTAAATATGGATACTGACTTCACTTCTCAAAGCAGCAGTTGCATTTTGACGTTCAGCAGGATCAATTGCAAGAAGGGTATCAATCAAAGGCAATGAGGAAGGTGGGAAATTTTTAAAAGTTTCAGCAATGCATCTTTTATATGACTGTTGGGGCTTAAAAATAGTTGCATGTGGCAACTTTGACCTTTTCCAATATTCATCAGAAGGGGACCCACATAACTTGAAAATCTTGTGAAGCTGCTCTACCTGCAACAAGAAGTAATATCACAAAAAAATAATTATTATATTATTTTCAAAAACTAACTAGATGGTATACTTATATTATAATCTTATTTTGCTCTTAATAAGCTTTAACTATGTCTAACTTTATAATTTTGTTAACAAAAAACTTCACTACTTATATATATACATAATGTATACAATAAAGTTAAATACACACATAAGAAGAGTAAATTTCATTTTTGGTCAAGATTGAATTATGTTAACCAAAAACTTCATTATAAATTTAGTTACCTCTGTACGACCAGGCATGATAGGTTTTCCAGCCAATAACTCTGCTAAAATGCACCCTGCACTCCATAAATCCACCCCTACACCATAATCAGTTGCCCCTAAAAGAAGCTCAGGTGGCCTATACCATAATGTAACAACTCTACTAGTCATTGGTTGTTTGTGATTAGGATCAAAAAAAGATGCAAGACCAAAATCAGCAATCTTTAAACTTCCTCCATTATCAAGAAGAAGATTCGACCCCTTGATATCACGATGTAACACATGTCGATTATGACAATGTTCAAGCCCAGATAACAGTTGATGCATGTAGCATTTCACCTAAAAAACAACATTCACAAATTGTTAAAAAAATAAATACCCCAATCACGATTATCTAAAATGACCAAGTTTCTTAAGAATCTAAACCTGGGGTTCTGTGAATTTGATTGTAGGACTAGCAGCAAGTCCAGCTAAATCATGCTCCATGTATTCAAAAACAAGATACAAACTACAAGACATTCTTGATGTAACCAATCCTTCCAATTTCACAACATTTGGATGATCTAAACGCCTTAATATCAAAATCTCTCTAGCCATAAACTTCACACTTTCAGGCTCCAGATTGTCGAATCGGACTTTCTTTAATGCAACTATTTTTCCTGTCATTGTATCTTTAGCTTTGTACACGTTGCTGTATGTGCCTTGCCCAATCTATCAGATTTTCATATCAGGTTTTAGAGAATTTGTAATATCAAGAAATTTTGTTAAATGAAATTATAACTACTTACCTTGTCGATTTTCTCAAAAGTATCAGCTCTTCTAGGAATCCAACCATTAATGGCTTCTCCTGCAACAGCAGACAACCAAGCAGGCCACCCAGCAGCCACCTGTTCGCCATGGATGTTCTTCGGTGGATTACTCAGTCTAGGATTAGGCTTTGAGCGTCTTCTCTCTCCTCTCGGCCTCACATTCGCGTCTTTTTCCACCTTTTGAGAAACCCCATTTTGTGGCTCTCCGCCATTGTTGCTGGTGTCGGGATTTGCTGCAGAAGCTCTCTCTTTCCTCCCGGACTGACCATTTGAATCCCTATCTTTCTCTCGCCTCTTCTCTACTACGATTTCAGAACTTGGTGGTCCAGAAGACGCAATCTCTCTTCCAAACACACACCCCATCTATCCCGAACTTTAAAAACCCTAACCCTCATTTCTCATGACATTCCGAGCTAGTTTCCTTTCAAACACGCCCTGAAAAACAAAACGAATCAAATCCAATGATTTGGTGAAAGACAGACTGGATTTCAGGCTTCCAGCAGCAATAAATGAAGAAAAATAATTGGGTTTTGGTAAAGATGCAGTGGTTGATTAGAAGAACCCTAGCTTTTTCCCTTTTTTGCCCAACAAAGCAGGGGCAGCAATCATAACCAATAAAGCCCTCAAACTTATATCGGTCAAACATGAACAAAAACAAAAGGGTTGAAGGGAACAGTGGAGAATAAAACAAGAAGCTTTAATTTGTTCTTTTGAAACAAGTGTGATTGAAGATCTAAAAGAGGAACTCTGTAACTTACTTACTGATTGATGATGACTTGTTTTCAAGGTGGGGAAGATCTGTTGAATTGGGCTGTTCGTGTTCCTTGTCTCTCTCTACACGAGTCAATCACTCAAACTGCATATGCGTATTTCGCTATTAAACACCTTTCACCATCCAAATATATAAATATGAAACCTTCATTTACCTACGAAACCTTTCCCTCTTTAATGATATTTGACTATTATTTGTCAAATCAATTCCAAATTCAAATTATAGAATGTGTTTCTTTGGAAGAAAATGAAATATATTCAAGAGAAAACTTCATAAATAGTCCATCTAGTTTTTAGAAATATGTGATATAGCCTTTAAGTTTAAGAAACTTCATATATATATGATAGATAGTCTTTGTAGTTTCAAAAAATTTAACAAATAATTCATCCCTCGTATAAAAAGACTTATATGTTATAAAATATGATCAAATAACAAGATAAATGATAAATAAAGAAAGACATAAGGATAAATAAAACTTTTATTTCAATACTTGTGATGAAATCATCAAAACTTTACAATACATAACACTCACTATTTATACTAGACAAAGAAGATGAAAGGTGATGTATGTTATGAATGCTCATTATAATGGCGCATAACTACACTCATAAAACTCATAATAATGTTTGTTATAATGTTCACTAATTATGGAGATGGATGGGTGGAATATGATGAATCCAATAGTCATTCACTAAATAATAATTCATAACACTCCCCCTTGAATGACGATTATATCATGTCTTGTTAAAGCCTTAATAGGTAAAACCTCATGGGGAAAACCATTTATTAAGGAAAAAGAGTACATGATTAATAATAGATATTTTAAATAATTATCTTGTTAAAAACATTGCTAAGAAAACCCAATGGGAAAAACATAGCTAAGAAAAAGAGCACAATATGTTTCCAACTCCCCCTGATCACCACATCAGTTGATTTCCTTAAAGCGTCACATGTCAATGTTTCGTACCATCTTTTCAAATTTGGATGTAGGAGGTGCTTTAGTGAACAAATTGGTCATGTTGTTACTTGATTGAATTTCCTGGATGTTAATGTCATGCTCCTTTTGAAGATCATTAGTGAAAAAGAACTTTAGTTATATATGCTTAGTTCTATCTTCTTTGATAAAAGCTTCATTAAATTGGGTTATACAAGTTTTATTATCTCCATATAGTATGGTTGGAACATCCCTGTTAGAAGTTAGACCATAATTCTTGCAAATGTGTTGTGTTAACTTTCTCAACCAAATACATTCATGACTTGCCTTATGAATTGTTATAATCTATGCATGGTTAGAATAAGCAGCAACTAAAGTTTGTTTAACATAATGTCAAGAAATTTTCTTACCTCCATAATTGAATAAATAACATGTTTGAGTTCAAGCTTTGTGTGGATCAGATAAATATCCAGAATCTACATAATTAATTAACTTCGCATTTGATGAATTTGATTAGTATAAATTCATATCCACTATACCTTGAAGATACCAAAGAACGTGTTTGACTCTATTCCAGTGACTTCTTGTTGGACAAGAACTATATCTTGCTAATAAGTTTACGATAAAAGATTTATCAGGTCTTGTATTAATAGTAAGATATATTAGTGCACAAATAGCACTAAGATATGGTTCTTCGGGAGCAAGAAGATTTTCATGTTTTTTATGATGTTGAAATTGGTCCTTTTTGGCATCTAAGTGCCTTACCACATCAGGCTATTCATGGATGTGAGTTATTCATATAAAACATTTTAAGCACATTTTCTAGATATTAATGTACCAAAAACTCCATTTTTGTGTTCTTAATTTGAAGACCCAAACAAAATTTCATTTTACCAAGATCATTCATTTCAAATAATTCTTTAAAACAAGAAGTGGTCTTTTCCAATTTTCTAGGAGTTCCAATTATGTTCAAATCATCTACAATAACATCAATTATGACAAATTCTGATCTAAATCCTTTTATGAATACACATGGGCTTATTGGATTATTTTTGTGGCCCTCTTTCAACAAAATGGTATTTAAAAAATTTAACCACATATGGTCTTATTGTTTCAATCCATACAAAGATTTATTTAATTTTACCGAATATACACTACTAGAAAATAGACCTTTAATGACGCGCTTTTTACGACATGCGCTGATTAATGATACGCAAAAGGACGTGCCCTTAAAATATTGTCATCTCTCCAAAAATTTAAGGATTTACGTCACGCATTATTGCGTGCCCTTAATTTAGTGTCTCAAGAAAAAAAATTAAAAACACGGAGGGCGCTTTATCTTAAACGCGCGTCATCTGTACCTGTCGCTTTATAATTTTAATGAAACGCGCTTTTAGTTAATGAAGGGGGAAACGAAATCCCCAAAATTTTGAAAACCCGCCTTGTTTTTTTTTCTTCTATCTACTTTTCATCCTTGCAATCCACTCTCCCCTCTCTGATACTCTCTCTTCTAGATCTCCCTTCATTCTCTACCTCCCGTCTCTCTGTAAACCTCGAAGGTGAATCGTAATTGAACTGCGAGGTCTCCTTCTTTTTCTTTGTTTTCTCAGGTAGGACATCATCCCAATCCATTAACCCCTTTTTTTCATTAAAAAAAACCCTAATTGACTTGGCAAGTTCATGAACCAGATGTAGCACATTCCAAACTGGGGATTTAACCAAACCCGATAGAGCCATTGACGGAATCTTTGGATTCAGTCAACAAGGACTCTCTGTAATCGCACAACTTTCTTCACAAGGGATCACTCCAGGTCTTCAATCTATCAATCTACAATGGCCATTGTCTAGGTTTATTCCATCTTTTAAGGTTTCCATGTAAACCTTGGACCTCGTTTGCAGGTTTCGTTCTCTGATCAAGTTGTTGTTGTTCGGGAAGGAATAACGAGCTCATCCTCTCCACCAGCCGACAACTTTCACTGTCTCCTTCTCCTTTTCTCTGTAAACCCTAATCCACCTCCACCACTACCGAATCCATTTTGTTTATCTTAAAGAATAACGCAACGAAGCTCATATCTCATATCAAGTACTCCAGCGTGGAGTTAATAATTGTTCCTTCACCCAGCTTGGCTATGGATTCAGGATATGGCATCACACCCCTGCGACCTGGTTACTCTCGAGCCTAATAGGGTCGTTGAAACCCTCAAGAATCTCACCACAAAGTTTTGTGACTACAGAGTGCTTGATGTCGTGAACTTGTTACCCACTGCCAATGATGGAACCATCACGCATTTATATATGCAGGTGAGTAATCAAATCTTAGTATAGTCATCAGTAAACACTTTGTTTTTATGAATTACGTTGTTTGTAAATCTTTTGAATCTTCTAAACACAGTTGATATTTTATTTTTCTACGCTCCTACAACTCAGGCTACTGCTTGTTATTTCTGGTTGCTTTGTTACTACATAAGACAACAACCTAGTAATCTTTGAATAATTAATCACTGCCTGTTTAGGGATACATTGTGGTGAACACCAACTGTTTGATAAAATGCCCCAATGAGTGACTCTTGCGTTTTCATGCTATATTATATATTTTGAGCAAGGAACTACACATGTTTTTATTAAATTTGAAGTGTAATGTACAATAGTAATAACATTGAGGTAGATTACATGTATTGTTCTTTTATGTGTTATTGTGTTTTGAAGTAGTTCTTGCACATCTTGAGCAGGTAGAATTTGCACATTCGTTTCTTTTGGTAAAATCATAAATGTATTTTTCTTTTCTTCTTCCCTAATTGATGTTTGATCTGCTGCATTTCAGCTGCTGAACTTGTTAGATGTGATCGTTGACAATGCGGAAAGCAAGCAAGCTCCTGCTCCTGAAGAATAACCTGCTCAGATGTCCACACTAAATGCTGATGATGCTGGTGGCTTAGGCTCAAATACCAAATCACCCAAAGCTGATCATGCCTCTAAGCCCTCATCTTCCGGTGCTAATACAGAATATGACTCCCAGATTATGCTGCTAAACTTACCATAAGCAGAACTATGTCTTCTATGCGCAATGCTTGCACGTGAATGGTATGTGATCACCATTTCACTTCACTTTTCTCATTATATGTTAAATCATATGGGAACATGTTGTGTTAAACTATAAACTTTGTTGTTTTAGTTTGTCGGATAATGCATATGCTCTTGTGGCGGAGGTATTGAAGAAGCTGGTGACAATCGCTCTTGTGTATTACAGGGGACTGTTTTAGACACAGCCAAGTCGCTTATATTTCCTCTTCCACTCGTGGCTGCTACTCATCAACAATTCCTAGCAGGTATGCTCTACATCAATAACATTTTATGAATGTTAAAATCCAATGAATAATCAGTGATTCTTGTTTGTGTTCATATTGAACAGGCAGTAGACATCCAGATGCAAATGGTCTTGATGGTTTAAAGGTTCAGATTATACTCTGTTTCAACAAGGTTTAGTTTCAAAATATTTTCTTGCATATTTTGAAAATTGCTAATATTTAATTTCTCTTTTTGGGGGCATGATAGTAGATGAAACATAGCTACCTATCAAGGGCCATCATACATGGGAATCATATGGTAAGTTTTATTAAAATATATTAATCTCAAACCTATAAATGCTTTTCCCATATCTTTGTTGAAATGAATTTATCTCATAGTTAGTAAAACCCCCCATTTGCATTTTTTAGTAAAATACTCACTGATTATTTCAAAACTCCTTTCTTTCCTTGAAGCAAATGCATTTATTTATTAATTTATTTATGGTTAATAAAATTGCAGACACGCAAGAGAGTGTTGATTAATGCGTTCACTGTGCGTGATACATTTCCTCCTGCTAGATGAGCAGGTCAATTTACTTTGGTTTTATATTTTCCCCCAATGAAATTACTTAATTAATTATCAATCTTTCTTTCTATATATAAATATTTTTTTCTAAAATACAATTACTCATTCTGGGGGTGGCAGGTATAATGGCTCTGTGTGCCACCAGCTCGTATTATGAACCCCAAGAGATTGCAGCTCGTATACTGCCAAATGTTGTTGTTCTCACAATTGATCCTCACATGTTATCTTATTTTCCTTTAGTTGTATTAGCTAGTGTTTAATTTTCCAAATTAAAATTAAATTTTTTTGATTTTCTACAGTGATGTCCGGTCAAAGGCTTTCCAAGCAGTTGAACAGTTTTTGCAGATAGTTAAGCAGTACCATGAAAAGGTTGTTGTTTCATTTTCGTTTTGGAATCCCTAGCTATATTATATTATATATCATTGGTTATTATTAAACAACGTGTTTAATACTATGTTTTTGTAGACATCTGGTGGGGATAGCAGTGAGTGTATGGGGTCCACAATTTCATCACTTCCAGGGAACGCAAGTATACTTGGGTATGTAATCTATTTATTTTGCTTCGTGCTGGCTTTAAAAAGTAAGACTGAAACCCAACCAACAATACATGCAATTGTAATTTATAATTTTATAATACAGATGGGCAATGAACTCTTTGACAACAAAAGGCAAACCCTCTGAACAAACCACACAAGCAATGCCTCCAAAATCCACATCACCTCTTGTTTCTGTTGTCCCCACTACATGTAAACATTGTTGTAACAAACACTTACACTAGACACAAACATGATTTTAATTTTTTTATGGTAAAATAATTACTGGATTTGTATCATCTTAGTAGTAGTATCAAGTACACATACCCAAAGTACAACAACACTAGTCCGAGGTGGAAGTTTAGATTATGGTGGTGACATGGCGGATCAACTAGAACCGGTGTCACCTACCTCGAATGACGAATGGGGGGAGCTCGAGAACAGTATCGATATTCATGAAGATGAAGAGATTGAAAAAGACGGGTGGGACGATATGTTGCCACTAGAAGATGAAAAGCTGCCACCTGCTCTTGCAAATGTAACACCGTAAATTTCAAAACAAATTTTTTTTTCAATTTTCTTATAAAACATAATTCGATTAATATTCATCAAACAACCATATTAATTATCCAATATAGGTTAATACAAAATCCCAAGATCACAATGTAAAAACTCCGAGTGTGTGTACGGATCAAGCCGGTGCCTTCCCGCGGTCGTCACTAGTACCTGAAACAATAACATCAAACACTGTAAGCACAAGGCTTAGTGAGTTCCCCAAAATACCACATATAACACATATTAGCCACTCGAGGCTATAACTCTGTGGGTCCGTGCACCCAAACTCTGTGAACCCTCAGGTTCTAGCTCTGATAAACATGCACTACATAAATCACATAGAAATAATGCAGTACAACACATAACATACATAGCATACAAATACTCTATCACATAACTCTGGTTACCTACTCAAGGTAATATAGTATAGTGAGAGACTCACCTCGCGTATCTCGGTATCTCACGAATCCTGGAAATCCCTCGTGCTCGATCCTCCGAGCTCTAATCCTCCTATAACATTATATGTTTCTAATTAACACTTTATATCTCTAAGGTTGACTATCCATAAGAAGTCAATCACAGGTCAACTCTGGTCAACGGTCAACTCTGACCGGACTCGACGAGTACCATCCCGACTCGGCGAGTCTAGACGTTTTCACCAACCCTCTGAAATCCCCTTACTACACGTCGAGTATTCCCCCCTTTACTCGACGAGTTTCACCTGAATGAATCGCGGGGCCACCCCGACTCAACTCGCCGAGTCTCAAGGACAACTCGGCGAGTCCAAGTTTGACTCAGTCCACTCGTCATCCCTCTCCAACTCACCCTGACTCACTGAGTCTACCCATGACTCGATTGGACCACTCGCTGAGCAGTCCCAAGGCAATCTTCAAGCTACTCGCCGAGTCGGATGAACAGACTCGGCGAGTCCATGCCATGCAACCACTCCAACTCGCTTCTAAGGTCAGATCTGCTTCCAAAAACTATAGATCTGGCCTCCCTCGACTGATTCATCACGTAAAGCTCCTATCTTGGTGCTCATTACACACCCTATAGCTCATAAATGGAGTTTTGACCTAAGGCATGAGGATTCCAATCCAAAGCCTCCATTGATTCTCAAAAAGCTTGGGTAAAGGGACACTCTGGACCTCTAAGGGTCCAGATCTATGGTTCCAACCTCATAAGGGACCAAGAGGACACTAAATCTTGCCATAAAAGGGTTCAACAAACCCTAAATCTAGATAAACAACAACAAACAAGAAGGTAACTCGGATTTATTACCACAAACGTGATGCTCTGGACTCCAAACCCACAGAAGTGGCTCCTCTTGCTTTCCCTTGGCTAGCTCTTCTCCTTCCTTGCAACAATGGCACCTCCAAGGTCAATAATGGCCTCCTACTTAGCTCCAAATGCTCACACTCGATTAGGGTTTCACTCAAGGGGCTGGTGAGCACAAATGACGGCCATTAGGCCCTTTAAATAAGTCTCAAACCCGAGAAATTAGGGTTTCATTACACAGCGCTGACTCGCCGAGTCCATATCCTGGACTCGTCGAGTCCAGGCGCGATCCCGCGTCCAGATCCGCGTCCCTACTCGGCGAGTCTGAGCTCCAACTCGCCGAGTCCCCTCTCAAATCAACAAAATATAATAAACAAGATACCTGATTAAAGTCCGGCTATTGCAACTCTCCCCCACTAGGACTAGACTTCGCCCTCGAAGTCTCGCTCTAAAAACAGCTCCGGATGCTGCTCCTGCATCATACGCTCTGGCTCCCAGGTCATCTCTGATCCCCTCCGGTGTTGCCACTGAACCAACACCAGAGGTACCTCCTTGTTTCTCAAAACCTTGATCTTCCGATCCTTGATGGCCACTAGTCTCTCGGCATAATTCAGGCTTGCATCCACCTGAATATCCTCTAACGAAACCACTGCCGATTCATCGGCTATACACTTCCTCAACTGCGACACATGAAAAGTGTCGTGAAACTGTCCCAACTCTGCTGGCAACTCCAACCGATATGCTACCCGGCCTACCCTCGCAATCACACGAAATGGACCTATAAACCAGGGCCCCAACTTGCCCTTCTTCCTGAACCGAATCACTCCTTTCCAAGGAGAAACCTTTAGGAGAACGAAGTCGCCGACCTGAAATTCAAGCTCGGACCGGCACCTGTCCGCATAACTCTTTTGTCGGCTCTGGGCTGTCAATAACCTCTGTCTGACCCGCTGTATCTGCTCTGTCGTCTGAATCACGATCTCTGTACTGCCCATCACTCTTTGCCCAACCTCGCCCCAACAAATGGGAGTCCGACACCTCCTACCATACAACAGCTCAAAGGGCAGCATACCGATGCTCGAATGATGGCTGTTATTGTAGGAAAACTCTGCCAAGGGTAAATACGTATCCCAGCTACCCCCAAAATCCAATACACATGCTCGAAGCATGTCCTCAAGTGTCTGAATCGTCCGCTCACTCTGGCCGTCTGTCTGGGGGTGATATGCGGTACTAAAATGCAGCTTAGTACCCAATTCCTCATGAAATTTCTTCTAGAATCGGGAAGTGAAGCGCACATCACAGTCCGAAACAATCGAGATCGGCACCCCATGCTAAGATACTACTTCTCTCACATAAACCTCCGCCGAAGAACTCTCACTGATGGCAAGAAAGTGAGTGCTCTTCGTCAACCTATCCACAATCACCCAAATTGCATCAACTCCTCTGGCAGTCCTTGACAATTTGGTGATGAAATCCATAGTGATCTGTTCCCACTTCCACTCGGGAACCTCCAATGGCTGCAACTTGCCATGCGGTCTCTGGTGCTCAACCTTCACCCTTCGATAGGTCAAACATCTCTCGACAAACCATGCGACGTCCCTCTTCATACAAGGCCACCAATACTCTTTCCTCAAATCCAAATACATTTTTGTAGCCCCGGGATGGATCAAAAATTTCGATCTATGAGCTTCCTCCATCAATGTAGCACGCGTACCGCCCACAAACGGTACCCAAATCCGGCCCTGAAAAGTCATAAGCCCTCGACTATCCGACACAAATTCAGAAACCAAACCAACGACCCGTTCTCTCTTCTGCATCTCCGGATGCACAGCCTCGGCCTATGCCCCACGAATGGCGTCCAGAACTGGAGCTATCACGATCAATCTCAAACATACATTTTGCAGCGGAGTACTCTCCGCCCTGCGACTCAATGCATCGGGTACCACATTAGCCTTGCCCGGGTGGTACAAGATCTCACAATCATAATCCTTGACCACATCTAACCACCTCCTCTGCCGCATATTTAGGTTAGGCTGATCCATCAAATACTTCAAGCTCTTATGGTCCGTGTATATCGTACAACGAACCCCATACAAGTAGTGTCGCCAAATCTTGAGAGCGAACACCACTGCCCCCAACTCTAAATCATGTGTGGGATATCTCGTCTCATGAGGCTTTAACTGCCTCGATGCATATGCTATCACATGTCCCTTCTGCATCAGCACCGCTCCCAGCCTTAAAATCGATGCATCACAGAATACCACAAAATCTTCCATCCCTTCCGGAAGAGCTAATACTGGAGCTTTGCACAACCTTTGGCGAAGCGTCTCAAAGGAGGTCTGCTGCTCGGGACCCCATAAAAATGTGACACCCTTCCGGGTCAATCTGGTGAGTGGCACTGCGATCTTGGAGAAATCCTTGATAAACCTCCGATAGTACCCTACCAACCCAAGGAAGCTCCTGATCTCAGAGGGTGACTTTGGCACCTCCCATCTCATCACCGAGTCAACCTTGGCCAGATCGACCAATATCCCTTTCTGATTAACGAGGTGCCCCAGAAACTGGACCTCCCGCAACCAGAAATCGCACTTGGAAAACTTTGCATAAAGTTTCTCCGATCTCAAAACTCCAAGAACTTCCCTCAAATGCTCCTCATGCTGCTCTCTAGATCTCGAATATACCAGAATATCATCGATAAATACAATCACCGACCGATCCAACATCGGCCTGCATACCCTGTTCATGAGGTCCATGAACACAGCCAGGGCATTGGTGAGCCCAAAAGGCATCACCACAAACTCATAATGCCCATAACGCGTCCTGAATGCTGTCTTCTGGACGTCCTCGTCCCACACTCTCACCTGATGATAGCCCGAAAATCGATCTTGGAGAACCAAGATGCTCCCTGTAACTGATCGAATAAATCATTGATCCTCGGCAACGGGTAACGGTTCTTGACCGTCAGCTTATTCAATTCTCGGTAATCAATACACATTTAATGCGAGCCGTCCTTCTTCTTCACAAACAGAATGGGTGCTCCCCACGGCGAGCTACTCGGCCGAATAAACCCCTTCCCCAGCAGCTCCTGAAGCTGCGAGGATAACTCTTGCATCTCTGGAGGTGCAAGACGATAAGGCACCTTAGCGATAGGCACGGCTCCCGGAACCAAATCGATACTGAACTCCACTTGCCTCACGGGAGGCACACCCAGTAATTCTTCGGGAAAAACATCTGGAAACTCACGCACCACCGGAACTTCATCCACTGAACTCGGTCTCTCGGAGATCACTCGCGTATCCATCACATACGCCACAAAACCCTTACAGCCCTGCTATAAACACTGCCTCGCCCTAGCGGTCGAACAAAAGGCTGATCCAGAACGTGTACCCTCGACGTATACCGAAAGAACTCCCCCACTAGGATCTCGTATGGTCACCAACTGACGCTCGCAGTCGATAACCGCGCCGAATCGGCTCAACCAGTCCATGCCCACTATGACACAGACATCACCCATCGCAATAGGAACCAGATCGATAGGAAAATCAACCCCAAAAATCCCTAACACACATCCCCGGAGGACCTCCGTGGCACAAATCACTCTGTCGGCAGCTATGGAAACCCGCAGAGGCCGACTCAATGCCTCACGACTAACACTGATATGCTGACTAAAGGCCAAAGATACAAAAGACCAACTCGCACCCGAGTCAAATAACACTAAAG